GGCCCAAGACCCCAGAAGAGGACCACCTGCCCCCAGCTGCCCTGACACACGACAGCACCAGCAGTGGCCGGTGGCCAGGAGGCCTCTGCGTACCTGCTGGGCTCCCAAAGGCAGCACTGTGTCACACCAATGGCTTCATCAGTGGCACTAAAGCTCAATGTCTGTCCCCTGGTCCACCTGTGCCCAGCAGCCTGTGTGGCTAGCCACACCCACCTCACTGAACAGGCCTTTTAATGCCCCTGTCCTAGGTGTGCACCCCACTAGGAGGGAGGAGCCTTGGTGAGCATCCTGGGGGTGCCCAGCACCCGACCTGTCCCCACCACAGATGCCAGGTGGCAGCCTGGCCCAGGCAAGCCCCGTCCACAGTGGCCTGCCGTCTTCCCACCTGGAAGTGGGTGGTCTCTCAGCTACTGACTGAAGGATGAACCCTAGGAGGCAGTGCTGAGGAAAGCAACGGGGCCACCCTCAGGACCCGGCTGCAGAGGGGAGTCCTGCACTCCTCCAGCGCCCGCCTCACCCCACCATTGCAGCCCTGATGCACCTGCAGGAGTTCAAGGAAGAGCAAGGCCGCCCCCTGGTGCCAATGGCAAACACTGCAGCCTCCCCTCACTCCCCAGCCCTGCACTCCCACCAGGTCTGAGCCCTGGGGAGAGGACTGGCCCTCCAGGGAGCAGGCGGGCCAGACAGGGGGAGTGGGGACCCAGCACACCACACCGGGTCTGAGCACTCTGGTGCTGCAGCAACCCCAAGTTCATTCTGTAGTTTCACTTGGTGCTGTCCCTGACCCTCACACTCACGTCCCCTCCCATTCCTCCGCAGGGACCCCATGACCAGGGTACAAGTCTTTCTCGGCTCAGTGCTCTGTCACCCCTGAAAGTGGGTACATGAGTGCCCCTAAGGAAGCCCAGATCCAACAGCAGCTGCCCCCATCCTTCCAAGGATCCCGAGCCACGGTCCAGTCCAATGGCACTTCCCATGGGACTATTTCAAGCTTGGCTGACCCCAGGAGTGACCTGAAACACCAGACAGTTGGGGTGAGCTGGGGTGAGCTGGGTGAGCTGGGGTGAACTGGGTGGGCTGGGGTGAGCTGGGGTGAGCTGGGGTGGCTGGGTGCACAGCTGCCCTTGTCCAATCTCAGCAAGACAACTGGCAGAGCTCAGACCTGCCCCTGCCCCAGTGGTGACCAGGGCTGGCGGGGAAGAAGCAGGTCGGGTCCGGAGTGCTGACACTCACCCCAGGCCGAGAGCGCCCCCTGCTGGCCTCCCAGTGCACCCACCAAGCTGAGCCTGAGCCTCCAGAGGAGTCCTGGGCAGGTGTCCTGGGCAGGTCTGTGGGATGGGGGTGCCCTGGGCACGGGCTCCTGTGGGGGCGTGAGGGTGCACACCCTGCCTTCCTTACCATGTGAAGGGGAGCCGCGCACCTGTCCAGTGCACGGGGCAGGGCTGCATTCCTCACCACAGGTATAAAGCCCAGCTGAGCTCCACCCCAGCTATGTCCCTCTTGTCCCCAGGGGAACGAGCTGCAGGCCCTATTGAGGACTGGCTGCGGACGCTGCTCTGCCCAGGGCAGCAGTGCAGGTGGTCTCCAGGGCTGCATTCTGGACGGCAGCAGGTGCTGACGTGGAGTCTCCTGTATGACAAGGTGCCTGGGAGCCTGTGCACACCTTTGTCCCTCTTTGCCTGTCTCAACCCCCTGCATGGAGGGGACCTGGGTTCCCCCAGATGAGCCCAGGACAGGGCTCCAGATCCCTTCTCAGCAGGGTCAGGAGTGTCCCTTTCTGAGGCACAGAAGATGTTTGTGGTGGCTGAATGACACCTCCACCTGACCTGTACCCTGGCCCCTGTGCTCTCTTCCCTGACACCAAAGGTGGCCAGTGCCAAACCTGCCCTGGAGGCTCCAGCCCTGCACAAAGTTGACCCTCCTGGGGCCCCCTGCCCCTGGCCCTGGGTGTGGGCGGCTCCCTCGCAGCCCTCCTGCCCTGGGCTGGCTGCTGGGTCGATTCCCACCTGCCTTCTGTCCCTGAGCTCTGCCGGAGGCTGCCGCCTGCCCTAGAGCCCAGCCTGGCCTGAGGACTAGGTCAGTGAACAGAGACCCGGCCCCAGGGCAGTTGGGCCAAGCACACCTGTCAGGAGGTCCACTCGGAGCTCCTGGAGAGCCAGCAGTTCTGACCCGTTTCAGCCAGCAGGCCCTGGGCCCAACACAGGGACAAACGGCTCCACTGAACCCAGGCCTGCCCCCAAGGATCTCAGTCCCAGCAGGCGGGGACAGACAGACAGCCTCCACAGGTGGCTGGGTTTCCCGGTGTCCTGAGAGGTGACCTGGCCATGCTGGAGTCTCCATGACTGAGGAAGGAACTGGAGTCCGGATCAGAGCCGCTGCAGGAGGACCCACACGAAAACCTGGGAGGCCAGCTCAGGCGTCCTGTGTGACAACAGGAGGCTCAGGGCACAGCTGGAGAGGCAAGAGTCCGTCCTGTGCCCACCGACCAGGCCGTTCACAGAGGTGGGACAGCTGACCTCACGCCATGTGGGTTTGGGCCACAGTACAGGCGAGGGAGGTAAAATCCTGACCACGGCCAGGTAGGAGGCTTCTCCCTGTTCACCGCAGCTGGTTTTCAATCGGGAATAGCCCACCTACTAAGATCAACTTAACAAACGGTAAGGAAGTAAGACTGTGATGAGGGGGAAAGTCCTTGTGCCCATCTCTGTTCTTGGGGCAGGTAGACAAACAGGAGCTGCCCACAGAGGCCACAGATGGACACAGGTGCACGGGTTAATGGACAAGACATGGCCAGACCACAGGCAGAGGACACAACACCTTGTCCGGAAGGCGGGTGGCGGGTGGACTTGCCTCTGCTGGAGCTAGCCCCTAAGGCCCTAGACAGACAGAACGGCCACGCGACCCCAGCCCCATCTGGGAATGGTCAGGGGCCCCACTAACACTCAGCAGCCCATCTGTAGTGGCCAAGCTCCATCCACTCTGCCCACCTCAGCAGGGGACCCAGACACCCCGGCCAACCCAGAGGCAGGCCACTGGGCCACCCTTTAGGGTGCCACTCCTGGGCCACCATTGTCCCAGGCATTGGAAAACCCTCTTAGACTTGGCCCCCAGCAGAGCTTTTATTCCAATTTCCTTCATACTGACCAGAGATGTGGGACACAGGAGATCAGGGACCCAGTGTCCAGTAACCTGCTCCCAGCCCTTCCCGATTATCCATCTCCACCTCCTCGTTTGCTGTCTTGGAACCCTGTGGGTCCTCTTGAGAGTCCCCCTTTGCCCTCTTTCAGTCTTTCACTGGGAATTGAACCCACGAAGACTCTACCCCTGAGCCACATCCCCAGCCCTTTTTATTTTAAGTTGGGTCTCACTAAATTTCTGAAGAAGTCCTCAAACTCATGGTCCTCCTGCCTCAGCCTCCCAAGCTGCTGGGATTACAGGTGTGCACACCATGCCCAGCTGCCTTTGACATGCTTTCCTTTTTTTTCAATTGTGATACATATGAAAAACTTACCTTTTTTAGTTTTGTTTCCATCCTGGGATCTAACCTAGGGCAAGCACTCTGCCACTGAGCCACATCCCCAAATCCACCATTTTGGTCCTTTTTTTAAGAGCACAGCTCAGTGGCATTGAGTGCATCCACCACAGTGCAGCTGCCACCTCCGACCAGCTCCAGCACTTTTTCATCTTCCTAAACTGAAACTCGGTCCCCACGAACACTGTCCCCACAAACAGGGCCGCTCACTCACCACACCACCTCCGCTCAAGACTGAGGTATCACACAGGCTCTGTCCTTCTGTGTCTGGGCTCTTCCCTCAGCAGAATGTCCCCAGGGTCCGTCCAGCATGGGTCGCCGGAGGTTGCTGATGGTTCCACAGAAACCCTCCACCAAAACGCGGGAAGGGCCAGGGGCCAGAGCCATGAGGAGGGGGGGTCCCCAGGGGGTTCAGAGATGGGGGTCCTGAGACACAGGCAGCAGCTGGGAGGAAAGACCAAGTCTAGCCTCTCAGGCTTGCTGTCTGCCGGCCCATGGACTCTCCTCCCTCCCCGACTGCAGCATGGGGAGGCGGGCGGGTGGACTTGCCTCTGCTGGAGCTAACCCCTAAGGCCCCAGACAGACAGAACGGCCACGTGACCCCAACCCCATCTGTAAAGCATGCACCCCACACTCTGCAGGCCTCAAGGTGCCGTGGCTGTTGGGACTTGCGCTTCCTGGGACATGGCCAGCTTTGCAGCATCTGAAGGGAGCCAGATGGTCATGGGGTGCCGCACGAGTGCCCACAGCACAGGTGGCACAGGAGCCACCACTGGGCCCTGGCCTTGAGACGGCCACGTCCCCCAGGCCCAGGAGCAGGCTCTACAGCACTCCTCCCTGGAGTGCCCACCCATCTGCCACCACTTCTATCAACCCGCGATGAACTGGGGCAGCAGGGGGAGAGCAGGGGGAGAGGGTGGGAACAGAGCCGCGCAGGCAGGCGCACTCCTGTTCTGAGGCCAGGGGAGCCAGCAAAGGTGACCCACTTGGAGGACGCCTGCTCCTGGATGGAGGCGGGGGTGGAGGGAAGCCTTGTGCCCGATGGGGGAGTCTGCCTCCTGGGGAGGAGAAGAGGAAACAGCCTCCTTCGTGGGGAAAGCCCGGGCTGGGGTGCAGCCTACGGGCAGAGCACTGGCCTGGCTTCGAGCCTCAGTGGGAAAAAAGTAAAAGAACGGCATTCTCTGTGGCCAGGACCAGCCTGCTGCCCTGGCTTGAGGTCCTGCCCTGGCCCCTTGAGGGGCATGCTCACCGAGTCCATCTTCTCCCGGCCTCCACCTCACTCTGAGGCTGATTAAATTAGTGAATGCAATCACAATCTGAAGCGAGTTAATTGAGAGAATTTATTTGGGCCTGACAGTTTTATGCATGTTTGATTAAGTATTATAGGGTTTGTTTTTGATTTTGCATAATTTAACTTTAAATCCTGCACTGGGGGGCCCATCAACCATTAACGACCAAAATAAACCTCTTTTCAGATGCATCCATTTATGATTTATTTCTGAGTGCAATATCTTCCAGATTTTTTTTGGTGCTGTTTCCAAAGTGACAAATATGTTTAAAGTAACATTTTGGGCCATCCCACTCATCCTACAAATCCTCCAGAATGCATACAATTCATTAAAAGTTTTGAAAGAAGTACAAGTTAGCATTTATACTGCAACAAGTGACACATAAATGCCTGCGTTTGTCTTCCAAGCAAGCCATAAAATATACCTGCTAGCCGGTTCCCCGGAGCCTGCACATCACCCACGCTCTGGGGTGATGATCAGCCCTGTCACAAATCTTCAGTCCTGTCAAAGTGAAGCTGCTCAGTCAGGAGTTCAAGTCGAGTCTTTTGTGAAATTAGCACAGAGGCCTCAGAGCCCAGGCCTGGGTCTGGGACGCGGGCAGCCCTGGGAGAGGGCGCACCAGCCTCCTGGGACCCCTTCACAGCTGGGTCTGGGTGTTGGGAGGACGTGCCCACCTAACACCAAGGGGGGTCCACAAGGAGACAAGAGCAGCCCTGCCCTCCAGGGCCTCTCACTGAGGCCTGCTGTTTCTCGGCCTCCCAGGGGCAGCGCTGAGTCTGTCCTGGCCCGGCCTTGGCAGAGGGCTTCCTGCCATAGATTCCCTGTTTTCCCTTTTGGTGCTGAGGAGGATCCCGGGCCTCACTCATGTTGGGCAAATTCTCTACCCCCAGCCTTACCCCAGCCCCAGGGAAGATGAAGGAGTTGCCCTAGGTTAGATCCCAGGGATGTTCCCTGGACCAGGGCTGGTCTGTGATCTGGCCAGGCCTGCTGCCCCCCAGGGCCCTGGAGCCTCCGTTCTGAATACCCAGCACGAGGCCGCACTCTAAGCAACAGCCAAGCACACGTGGGGCTGCTCTGCGGCAGGAGGTCTCTGTCCCAGGGAGGAGCTCAGGCCACTGGAAAGACGGGCACAGGTGAGCCACCACGTGGAGGGAAAGGTGGGGCGCAGAGGAGGGGGTCCATGGCCCTGGGCCTCCACCTGAGGAAGCAGGGGGCTGTTGTGGGTGTAGCTCCCGGTCACCAAGAGGGCTCTCTGAGCAGAGCTCTGGCCTGTGCTGTGGCCAGCAAGGCACAGAGCGTTGACACAGGTCCTGCCCCTCACGACCCTGTGACCTTGAGCAAGTTACTAGTCCCTTGGTCTCCTGTAAAAGGGGACAGGAGCAGCCATCGGCTGTGGTACCCAGTGCCCTTGGGTTCAGTGACACAGAGACCAACAAGTGCCTGGTACACGCACAGCCAGTGTGCTCCCTTCTCAGGCTGGCCACCCGCCCCAGGACAAGGCAGCCAGGAGCAGTGACGAAGCCCCCCTCGCAGGGGAGGGGTCTAAGCGAGAGGTTTGTTGCCCTCAGGCCCTGCACAGCCATCTCCTCCCTCTGCCCTCACGTGGTCACCCTCTGGTGTGCCTCTGTCCTGACCACTGGTCCTAGGTGACCTGAGTGCCAGGAATACACAGGGTTACTGTTGGTTGTATTAATCCAAGTGTATGTGGAGGAAAGACCATAAGCAACGTGCCCCTGATGAGATGTGAGTGGCAGAACTGCGGCCAACTGCGGCCCAGGCAGACCTAGATAGTGACGTCGGCGTCTGCACTGCTGCAAGCACAACTGAACTAGGACTTAAATCCCAGACTCTGGGGGGCGATGGGACCAACAGGACCTGGACAGAGAGGGAGGTCTCGGTCTGGTCTCCCCACCAGACTCCTCCAGCTTGAATCTAGTTCCAGCGACCCTGACTGAGGACCCATGTCAGGTGAGCATCTGGGACTCTTGGGTAGCCTCAGTTAGGACTCAGAATCAGGATGTGTGTCTGAAGTGTGATGAGCATCAATAAAATAGACCTGATTGAACCCAGCTGTGCCTCAGACTGAGACACTAACAACCGCTCGTCACACTAGTGGGTCACGGTCTTAGTCAGCTTTCATTGTTGAGACCAAAAGACGTAGAACAACTTAGAGGAGGAAAAGTTCATTTTTGCTCGTGGTTTCAGAGGCTCAGTCCACGGCTGGCCGGATCCATTGTTCTGGGCCTGAGGTAGCGCAGAGCATCATGGAGGAAGGGCATGGCAGATAGCTGGTCATTCATGGTGGCCAGGGACACAATATAACCCCAAAGGCACATCCCCGGGACCCAGCCTCTCCAGCCGCACCCTACATACTAGCTGCAGTCCCCACCAGCTAGACTAGTCCAGGGGCTGACCCACTGAGGCAGCCGCGGCTCTCACAGGCTGTCATCTGACCTTGCAGCGTCCTGGCTGTCTCTCATGAGCTTCTGGGGGATACCACAGATCAACCATAGCAGGGCCCATCCTAGGGAGCTTTGCACGTGTTGAGGGTCAGGCTTCAGCACATGAACGAGAGACACAACTCACTCCATAGCAGCACCTCGAATGTCTCCAGTTCTGTCGTCAGACTGACCCATGCCAAGGTGGGTCAGGCTCAGGTCTCTCGGGAAGCTCCAGAGAGGATGCCCGAGGGCCAGCCCTATGCAGCCTCACAGGGGCTCAGGGTCTGTTCCCAGATGGCTGGCTGTTGTGGAGGCCTCAGTTCCTCCTTAGCAGGCTGGGAGCAGGACTGCTAGAACACCCACCCAGCATGGCAGCTGAGGGGAGACTGCTTGTCTTCCCAGATCCCCGACAGGGAGGCGGAAACCCAGGCATTCTGTGGCCCAGCCTCAGAAGACGTCACCACACCCCATCCGCCACACTTTTCTTTGGTACTGGGGTTGAACCCACAGTGCCTTACTCCTGCACTTACAGTTCAGATGGCCGGCTGGCCACCCACTGGCGCCCCTCTCATGGCCTCCCCATGAGACTTCCCAGCATAGCAGCTGGTGCCCAGAGGGAGCAGTGCCCAGGAGGCTGAGAGAACAGCCGGCTTCTCTGAGAGCCCAGAACCACACAGCACAGCCCTCTGGGCCTCCTCTGACTCCAGGCCAGTCGCTAAGGTGGACCACCAGGGGTGGGGAGTAGACTCCTACCTCGATGGCAAGCGGGAGGGGCTGCAGAAGAGGCACCGGTGGCTGTCCAGGAAGACAGCGTGTCCTTCACGTTGTCCTGTCTTGGGCCCCTCAGCACTTCTCGGAAGCGGGGTGGGGTGGAGGGGGATTATCATTGAGCTTGAAGCCACACTGGGCCTCCCCCAGGGGGGTCAGTTTGAAAATGACCCTGGAGAACTCATGACTTGGGAGCCTGAGGCAGGAGGATCTGGGAGCCTGAGGAAGAAGGATCACAAGTTCAAGGTCAGCCTTGGCAGGTTTGAGCAACTTAGTGAGACTGTGTTTCAAAATAAAAACTAAAAAGGGCAGGGGTGTGGCTCAGTGGTACAGTGCCTCTGGGTTCACTCTGCAGCACACACACACACACACAAAAGACTTTGGGAGATTCTGGATGGGGCTCAGCAGCAGAGGCTTGCCCTGCCTGTGCAAGGCCCTGGGTTCTATCCCCAGCACCACCAATTAAAAAAAAAAAAAGGCCCAGGAGATGTCACTTGTCTCCCTTTCCCTCCCCCTCACAAGCCCTTCAGTGGGCCACAACCGATCTGGCAGCAAGACCTGGTCATGTCAGGCCCAGAAGTCACCTGGCTAGGCAAAGCGCCAGGTGTCCTTATCCCTGCACCCACCCCCAGCTGGCAGATGGTATGGGGGCAGGTGCAAAGCTCTCCCAGGCCGGCAGGCAGGACCCCTCCTCTCAGCTCCCCCGGGCATGGGCAAGCCTGCCCAGCACCTGTGTACCAATGGAGCGAGGGACTGCCTGCTCAAATTGTGGACTGGTAGCTGTCCCTGAGGCAGCTGCTCACCTCTGCCACTCTGCTGCGAAGGCGCTAAGCAGCCACAGGCCCTGCACACGAGCGCGTCAGTCCCGCCTGCATGCATCCCGCCGGAGTTCCCAGCCCAGGCTGAAGGCCTCGCTTGCACTGGCGCCCCTCCCCAGCCCCATCCCCGCTTCTCAGGCCATCCCAGCAGGTGGCGCCAGGCCTGCGCCCAGAGCTACACTGGGAGGAGTGAGGACCGAGGTGGGGACCCTAGCTACCTTTCCACAGCAAGATAAGCTGCTGGAGGGCCTTTCGAGCAGGCCACTGAGCTGCACAGGGCACACGGGGAGGGCCCAGCTGTGGTCAGGTCCTGGGCTGGAGGTCATGGACTCAGTTCAGTAGGTGGCTTCCAGAACTTCCAAGGAGTGAAGTCACAACAGCAGGGCACAAGGTAAGGGCAGGGGGCATTTCCTGGAGCTTCCCTGGCTCACCTCCTGGGGTAGAAGAGGAACCGAGGGAGCCTGGGGGCCAGGGAGGTGGTGGCACAGGGCCGCAGGCGACCTCGCAGAGGCAGGGATCTTCCAGAGGGGTCTTGAAGGGTGAGCAGAGGTTGGCAGGTGGAGGAGGAACAGAGACTCACACAAGGAAGGCATGAAGGGGCAAGTCAGGGACAAGCCACCCCAGGATATGCGGCAGCTGGAGGGGAGACAGAAATGCCCAAAAAACCATCAACCCGAGGGCCGCAGACACACAGCCCAGGGAAGAGGTGCATTTTAAGAGGCTTCTTAAAAACCCGTCGCCCTTCACCTGCTGCTGGGAAGTTTCCAACGCTCCCTGGCTATGCTCAGCTCCACCACGGTGGCAGGAGGACCAGGGCCACATACCACCAAGCTCCTCAGACCCTTCCACAAGACAGGGGCCAGTGTGAGCACGGGACAGGGAGGGAGCTACGGGGAGGCTGGGGCTCTGCAGGGCAGCCAGAAGAGTGCCAAAGGAGCGGCCACAGCCAGAGTCAGTCCTGAGGACAATAACAGAAGGCCCGCACTGGCTCCACAGGGACCAGCAGGCCTGAAATTAGTCCCAGGTGGAGGAACTTGCACTTCTGCAGCTCCCCACCCAACACCCCTGCACAGGTCACACCAGTCTCTTTCTCCTGGGGCTCTCACCACCCTCCAGCCCTGACACCTGGACCTCTGAGTGAAGGATGGGCAGGGGTTGGTCACACATGCTGGTGGTGTTGGCAACGACCTGGGGCCGGGGCCAACTGGATAGGTGCCTGACAGGAGAGTCAGGGCCATTAGCTACAGACAAGGTGACAGGGTAGTGGGACAGACCTCAGAGCAAGACCAAACTGGCCACATCCCTGAAAAGCTCACCAGGGGACCTGAAGTCCCCATCTGGAGGCCTTGGGGAGGGTCCTGGTCTCCATGAAGAGATTCTAATGCAGGGGTGTTGTGGCCGCTCCAAGTGATACATGCCTCCTTAATTTCTCCCCCAAAAGCTTTTTTATAACAGTGAAAAGAATAGGCACAGAAATGTGTAAAAAAAAAAAAAAAAGTGAAAATGACCTCTGAAACTAAAGTAAATGAAAATGCTCTGCAGACATCCCCCTGCCTCAGGACCTCACCCGAAGAATGCACCCACAGCCCTGGTGGGCCATCCTCACAGGCCTGCTTCACCTGGCTTGTGCGGTCCACCCAGGTCTCTCAAGACTGGGCGCAGATGGCAATGACTTCACCCATCCTTAGATCAATCAGTCTCTTGGGACTGATGCCACCCACAGCCCTCAACAGACCCTCACAACACCCGGAAGGTAGTACTGCTTGTCTGAAAGGAGGGCAGTCTGTGCCACCCCGTCCTGGGCCTTGGCCTATGGTGAGTCTGCACACCTGCCACCCACCCGCCATCTACCCTCATCCTTCCTCACTGCAAGATGGTGGACACCTCCAGCAGGTGGTTCCATTCATGTTTCCCACCGAGGGGCAGTGTGGGTGGATGTCCTGCTCTGGAGTCAGCCCTGTACTCTTCCCCAATTATGCACAACAGGATGTGGGGGGCTGAAAGGGCTGGAGCCAACGGCTGTGGGGTCACTAAGGGAGAGCCAGGGAGCCCCAAATGAAGGCACAGGCCAGGGGAAGAGCTGCTCCACAGGGTGACTGCTGCTCCATAGGGTGACCGCCTCCAGTGTGCGGGAAGCGCAGAGTGGCAGACAGGCAGCCTCCTGCTGGCCCATACCTCGTCCAGGCCAGGGACACAGCCCAATGCTGCACGAGAGGCAAGCACTGGTTGGTCTGATCTTAACAGGCCCTTAAAACAGACAATTAAATCCAGCCATCAGGGCCCTGTTTCACTGTTTCCGTGTTCACATGTGTACAGTGTGGGGAAGCATTCGCCCAGGCTTCTCTGGGGAGAGCTCCGCTGGTCACTGAAGAGCCGGCTCCTGGTGCTCTCCCAGGGGCCCTCATGGTCCAGTCAGTTTTCAGACTCCAGCTCAGGCTGGGTAAAGGCTCTCCGGTCCTCAGATGGGCCTCGCCCTCTCCTGCACAGTGCAGACTGAGCCAGCCCCCAGCCCCAGGTGGCTCTTCCAGCTGCTGGGAGCCCTTATTTCAAGGGCCTCCGCCCAACAGCCTGTCGCCCAACTCTGCCACCTGAACAGCCTGCACCCTGTGACTGGACCGCAGTGGGCCAGAGGGTCAATGAGGGAACCCTGAAGGGCCACAGCTTTCCAGACTCACCATGGGTGGTCTGACCCTGTGGACATTTCCAGCATACCCCCTGTCCACGACCTCTGTCACCTGCAGGGCCTTGGCAAGGTCATTACTGCTGGCCTGCAGGACCCACCCTCATTCCTTCCTTTTATATTTTTTGTGTTACGGGGAGTGACCCCAGGGACGCTCTACCACTGAGCTCCATCCCCAGCCCTTTTCATTTTGAGACAGGGTCTTCCTAAGTTGCTCCAGCTGGCCTCGAACTTGTCATCCCCCTGCCTCAGCATCCCGAACCGCTGGGATTACAATTAGGGTCACCACGCCCGACCCAACTTCCCTCTGGGGCTCTAGGGAACCCCGCGCGGTGTCACACCCAGCTCGCCGCCGACAGCCCTGGTAAACCCGCTCGGCTGCTGCACTGCCCACCGCCGCCCGGCCTCCGACAGTCTCCCGTCTCCGGGGAGCAGCTCATACCCGGTCAGCCCCGCTCCCCCGCAGCGTCGAGGACGCGCGCGCAGAACTCTCGGGGGGGGGGGGGTGGGGTGGGGGGGGTGGGGGGGGGTGGGGGGGGTGGGGTGGTTGCGGCCCAACGCATGAGCGCGCCTGCGCACTGCCGAGCCCTCGAGGCCCGCGCAGTTCCTTGTCTGCGCCTGCGCAGTTCCTTGTCTGCGCCTGGGCGGTGATGTCACAACCGCTCGCGGCTCGTACGCGCGCGCCGTGACAGAATCGAGTTCTGGGACGCTTAGCGCGAGGCCAAAACGAGCACAGCGAGGCTTCGCCGTGGCGCGAGCGGAGGGGGCGGAGGGGGCGTGAAGCCCGCTCTACGGTGGCCGCGGAAGGACGGCGCTACGGCTCCCACGCTGGGCCAAACGCCTCGGGCGGCCGGGCCAGGGCACACCCTCCCCTCCGGGCTTGCCCCAGCCGGGGGCGCGTGAGGGGCCGCGCCAGCGCTCGGAACTCTCGGCAGAATGCAGTCGCCCTGCTCTCGGAGCTTCGGGCGACAGGGGCGCCCGCAGGCCCAGTCCCCAACACCGCCGGCCTGCCGCCTGGTCCAGGACGCCGGCGCCGCCGCGGAGAAGGCACCGGGTGAGCGGCCGGCGGGGAGGGCGGGACCTGGCCGCGGGACGTCTCCAGGGCAACGCGCGGCGCCGACACCCGGAAGTGGCGCCCGCAGATGCCCTGGGCGGCGGGCCGGGGTCGCGCGCGGCCCGCGGGGCTTCCGGGTGTGACGCGCCTGCGCGTGGCCCCCTGCGCCCCGTGGCATTCATGGGCACCGGGAGGGTGGCCGTGTGGTGGTCTGCAGGGAGGCTCGTGGTGTGGAGCACCCGGCACCTGGCGCGCAGCCTCGTGCACCTGCCGGCTCCGCTGTGCTGTCTCGCAGCCACCAGTGCACCTGCCGAGGCACCGGGTGGCAGGAGCAGAATGGAGCCCTCTGCCAGCAGGCGCACTACCCCAGCTGCGCGGGGTACAGTGACACGCCCAAACGAGGGCGTTGTCCTGTCCCCGCAGCGACTGGAGACTGGGTAAAGCTTTGCAGAAGCGCCCGGACTGGGCACGGGACGGATCAGGGTATCCGCCCCCTGAGTACCTTTGGCTGCGCAGCCATTTGCTCTGGACCTGTGTCCGGGAGGGGGAGCTAGACTGAAGTCCATCTGAGGACGTGGAAGCTTTTGGCTGCCTTGTTACTAACTTTCGTTATCGGATTTTCTACATCCTGAACTCTCAATCTGCTGTTTCCTTCCACAGATTATCGAAGCAAGTTGTAAATGGCATTTACTAGGTGCAACTAGAGAGCCATGTGCCATTTTCTCCTTTCTTTTGGAGCCCAGTCTGAAGGGCTGCTGCATCCCGTGGCAAACAGCATGGACCCAACACTGTGGCCCTGCTTTGCCATGACACCCCCAGGTATCCTCCCTGGTTCAGGCAACCCTGGGAGGATAGAGCTGTTGCCCCCCTCCTTCCTCTCCCCTGCTTACAGAGCAGGAGCCTGTGCTCAAGTAACCTGCCCCAGAATATTCCTAAGAAATAACACCACCAGGGCTCAGGCCCCACCAGGTGACTCCAGAGTCCCCATCTATCTGCATCCTGTCCCTCATCCTAATCTTATTATTCCTTGTGGAATGGCCTTCAAGGACTATTGTCCCTGAAATCTGCAGAAGTCTTGAGCAATAGTAGACATACAAAATTAAAGCAAGACAAATCTAGAAAATGGTGACTGTGAGAAGCCTTTGGAAAGGAGTGAGCTTAGCCAGACTCTGCTTGTCTGGACCCCAACCGTTTTGTCACTGACTGCTCTCAGGGAGGCCCTCTTGGGTGAGGGGGCCATGGTCACTTTCCTGGCCTTGCTCAGCACTGTGGGTAAAGTGCCACTTTTGGATTTTACATTGTGGGTCCCTTGGAAGAATCCTCAGGAGGGTTTGTAAAAAGGAAAGGTGGGGACTGAGTCCCAGTTCTGAGCCCCAGGCCTGGCATTTGAGCCTGCTTGGCGGGCTGATTTCTCAGGGAGAGACACCCTCACCGTGTCCTCAGACTGACTTGATGCCCTCCTTGTCTCTCCCCCCAGGACCACGCCTCTTCTGAGGTCTCCAAGGCCTAGGCGCCCATGACACCCATGCTGACTGCCTCCTGGAGGCAGCACCGCCACTACGAGCTAGCGCCGCCGCCGCTGCCGCTGCCGCCGGGGCCAATGCCTGTCATGCCCATCCCACGACGGGTGCGCTCCTTCCACGGCCCGCACACCACCTGCCTGCACGCAGCCTGCGGGCCAGTGAGGGCCTCGCACCTGGCGCGCACCAAGTACAACAACTTTGACGTGTACGTCAAGACGCGCTGGCTTTACGGCTTCATCCGCTTCCTGCTCTACTTCAGCTGCAGCCTCTTCACTGCCGCGCTCTGGGGCGCGCTGGCCGCGCTCTTCTGCCTGCAGTACCTGGGTGTGCGCGTGCTGCTGCGCTTCCAGCGCAAGCTGTCGGTGCTGCTGCTGCTCCTGGGCCGCCGGAGGGTGGACTTCCGCCTCATGAACGAGCTGCTCATCTACGGCATCCACGTGACCATGCTGCTGGTCGGGGGCCTGGGCTGGTGCTTTATGGTCTTTGTGGACATGTGAGGGCGTGGCCTCCGCCTGACTTTCTTGATTGTGCCCGCTGCGGGTTCTGTTCTTGGTGGGGTGGGCTGGTCAGGGCATTGTGCACCCCCGTCCTATAGGCGACCACTGCAGAACATGCTCCCCTTTGGGGGAGAAAAGGGCTGAGACTATTCTGTGACAGGAACCACTGCCCCTCTGGCTGGCCTCTGTAGCCCCTGCCGGCTGGGCTTCCAGCTCTGCGGTGGTCTGCTCACCTCCTTCCAGGTCGACCTGTGCGGTGGCTTCTGTCTGTTCTACACTTTGAGATTCTCTGTGACACACACCCCACAGTTAGGCCCTACCAGTGGTTTGGGAGACCCTGGACACGGGTGTACTGCCCAGGAGCAGATCTGGACAGGGTGCCCCCTGGCTGCTCCGCCCCCTTCCTGCACACCTTCAGCCCATCTTGGCCTTGGTCAGTGTTGGACCCCACTGGCAGACACTGCACTGTCTCACAGCTGCCCACTCCCTCCCGCCTGCCTGTCACCCTGAGGGGCCATGTGGGTCCCCTTGGATTGCTCAGATGCAGTCCGGCTGGAGTGCAGACAGCCTTGGCTGGTCCCTGGCGCAGGGGCATCCCAGAGTGTGTGGGAGCCAGGTAGAGCTCCCTCTACCTCCACCCGGCCAGGCCTGCTGAGAATGTCCCCTGTACTGCATGCTGCTGCAAGTGTGGGGTGTCTGGGGAGCAGGCTTTTGGCCTGTCTTCCTGTGAGACAGCACCCAGCACTGAGACCTGCCTTTCTGGAGCAGGTGCCGGGGGTGGGCTAGGCCCACCACAGAGAGCCTCCCCCAGCGCTGTCCCCACCCTGCTGTGGCTGTTGAAGCATCCAGGTGTGAGAGAGCGTGACTGAGGGACAGGCAGGGTGTCCTTGGAGCAGGGAGCACCTGGGCCCTGATCTAGCCTCCTGTGTTGAAGGGGCTCTGGTCAGTTATGCGAGGTGTAGGACACTAGCCTGACTCTGAGGATGGCTACTTGGTCAGTACTTGCTTCACCCCAAGTTGTCCCCACTTCCTGGGTTGGATGGTGGCCCCTTTAAACTTGCCCTGCCAGACAGACCAGTGGCCAGGGGATCTGTGAGGACAGTTGTGTGCCACTGAAGAGCAACTTAGGGAAGCAGAAGCTCCTGGCCACAGATGGCGCTGTAGTTTGTAGCCAGCCTCCGTCCGCTGCTCTTCCAGAGGGAGGCTCCAGAGGGCCCCTGTGAGCCGGAGGGCGGGCTCAGAGCTTCCCGGCCCCGCTTTTCTCCTGCTGCAGAGAATCTATTGCACTAGGTCATGCGCTTTCCTCAAGCCAAGCTTTGTTTACGCTCACTGACTCCTGTCACAGAACCGGCAGAGCCCCTCCAGGGCTGGCTGTGCTGCCTTGAGTGTGAACACCATGCCAGGGGCGGCAGGACCGCTGCGCACTGCACCCCACTGCCCAGTGTCCCGAGGGCCTGCCGAGTCTTAATGAGGTGGGCCACCTGCATTAAACCTATTTTTTTAACACATTGATGGAGTGATTGCTTAAAGCTCAGAATATTTATTTGCTTTTTAAGGATATAATCACCGACCCAAAAGACCACAGACTACAGGACTTTCTCTTCGGGAGGAACGTGGCCTCTGTGGAGTGGAAGTCCACACTCTGGTCCTTCCACCCACAAAGACTTCTTACAGCCCTGAGGCTGCCACCACACCTGATTTCAGCCATTATGGCCAGAAAGTTACAGAAGGGAACAGGTTAGTGACAGAGAGACCCTCCCATTGTTTCTGGATGAGACAACTTTGTCCCAGGGCAGCATGGGAACAGAGGGGCCAGGTTTGAGTATCGGGGCTTCTGACCATCCTGCGTGTCCCAGGCTCCAGATGCAGTGGGGTCCTGGGGGTGTCGAAGCTGGGCCCCAGTCAGCCAGGCGTGAGGGTGGCTGTGCCCACGATGGACCCTGCTGGGCCGCTCAACATGCCCAGGGAGACACCACCTTCCTAGCAGCTGCTGGCCGGCCTTGTCTTCCGCGGGTCTGGGGAATCTTGCTGTTTCCACAGTGCTGGGGTCAAGCCCAGGGTCTTGCACACAGGACGGGCAGGTGCTGAAGCACTGAGTCCTGTCCTCGTGCCCACTGTTAACCAGGCCGCCTCTGTCCAGACTGCACAGGGGCTGCTCCATCCACACTGCAGTGCAGGAGCCACCAGCCCCACGAGGCCACTGAGCATGTGGGCCCAAGGTGATTGAGGTCCCTTTCAAGGAGCCTCCTGGGGCTGCACGAACCACAGCTCTGAGGCAGCCCAGGCTATTTGGGCACTGACCACAGTGGTGGCACACAGACCTGGCAGAGCTGTAGGACTGGATAAGCACACCTGGGGGGCAGGCCAGGGACCCCCAACAACGGCTGTGCTTCCATCGGTGGGGACACAATCGAGAGCTATGTCCTGGGCCTGGGAATTCCTCTGAAATGCCTTATTTAGAGCAAATCTATTTGCTCATTAAGGACTCCCAAGTCCCTGTGGAAAAAATGGGGATGGCCAGCGTCCTTGGAGGGCACAGCAGTGGGTGGGGAGGAGTAGAGGGCAGGGGAGGTGCTGAGACAGACCCGGCCTGGGAGGGTGGTGGTGCCAGCTCTGCAGGAGGTGGCTTAGGGGACAGGTTTGACCTCACTTGAGCAAACTGTCCATCCAGCTGCCTCCCCACCCCCTCAAGTGGCCCAGACTGCCTGTGAGGTAGAAATGGTCAGGAGAGGCAGAGGGACATCTCCCAGGCTGGGGAGGGAGTGGGCAGGAGGCCACCTGCTATCAGGTAGGTGGTGGGAGAGAGCAGGGACATGAAGACCAAGAGGCCACCCCACAGGGAGGCCTGCCCAACCCAGGTGCTGGCTGAGAGGATGCCGGTGACTACAGCCAGGCAGTGGTGGTGGGTGGGCAGCAGGTGGAGCAGTGTGGGAGAGGCGCTGAGGCCTGAGCCATCTTCCTGGCGTGTGGAGCAGCGGGGAGGAAGCAGCCCGGGGCCAGACCACCAAGAACATACCCAAGGCAGAGGTCCCATGTCCACGGGTAGCTGCGGGGCTGGCGGTGGAGTTGGGGCTCTGGGGAGGGTGCTCCTGGGCAGGAGGTGGGAGGAACAGGATCCCAGCAGAGGACAGCAATGAGGGGTGGAGGGGGGGACGAGGAGGGGCCCGGGCCACAGCCACCTGCCATTGACTGTGTTGGGTTTGCTTTCCAGCCGGTCCATGGGCAGGGGTTCAAGTCCAGCTTTCTTCCATTGTCCACCACACAGGACAGCCTCACCCACCCACCTCCTGGAGTGGAGGACATGGGGTCTGTGGAGATGAGGAAAGTCCAGACCCCAGGAGCCAGCAGAGGGCAGGGGTGGCAAGAAGGCTGGAGCCGGGGGATTTCTAGAAATGAGATGCTCACTGGAGACAGGCCAGGGGCTCCCAGTCCCCAGGCACAGGGTGGATGGTGAAGTCGTCTCTGTGCCCTGTCTGCAGCCCTTGGCAGAGACCCAAAACAAACACAGGGGCAGGAGGTGACCTTCCCGGGTGGAGGGGCAAAGTCTCAGCGGGGTGGGGGTGTGAGCAGGGTGCCTGGTCTGACAGCCCTCCAGGAACATCCCCAGTGCTGCTGCAGGCACTGAGGAGCCAGCGTCAAGGAGCTGACCTTGGGAAGGCCCTGTCCCTGCCAGTGTACGAGGGGGGAGGGCGGGAGCGGTGGCGGCGCCTTCCAGTGCTGATTCAGCGTTTCCCGGGGAGGGGAACTGAGCGGTCCACAGTGGCCAGCCTGCTTTTCTCTTCTCCCTTTTTGGCCTTGTTTGGAAGAAGGGTCCCTCTCTGCACCAGCTCCTCCCAGGAAGGCCCTCTCCTCCTCCCGCAGCGGCTTGGAGCTGGGCACTGGCTCCTGGGAAGCAGCATTCCCAGGCGGGTGCGCGGCAGGGGCAACTGTCCAGGAATCCCCAGCAGTCTGGCTGCCTCCCGACAGTTCCCCAAAGAGGGAGCTGCCCCCCAGCATCCTTGCCCCGGCTGGGACTGTTCGGGAGCCGCTGATTCAGCTCCAGGGCCCTGTGCCCCTCCCCCACCCAGCTGGGCAGTGTGCCTGGGCTGCTGGCAGCTGTGTCACACGGGACCTCGGGACCTCGGGCTGGGTGGTGTGGCTCTAGGTGTGTGGCCCACGCTGCGCCTGGGGGTGGGGTGGCCACCTGAAGCTGCGGAGCTTGCAGGTGCGCTCCCTGTGGCCCGCTCCCTGCCCCCATGGCCCTCACACTGTCATCCCAGAGCCTCCTGCAGGGTGTGGGTGGGCACCGAGGCAGGAGCTTGTCTGGGGGCCTCTGGCTGCAGTCCTGATCCAGCTCTCAGCAGCTACCAGCCCCCACCAGGGCCAGTCTCCAGAGCCCAGGTCAAGTTGGGCAGAGGTCCTCTGTCCATCTCTGGCTAGGACAGCCGTGGCCACCTGCCCTCCTGACCAGAGCTGGGGGCTGAAGAGGCCGGAGTGCCCTGTGCTGAGTCTCATCCTGAGCTAGCCAGGGCAGCAGCTGGGGTCCAGGGCTCTCCCAGGGCGTGGGAGCGCAGCAGGAACGAGCCAGGACCCCCAAGGGCCCTGCACGCTGCTTCGCCTGGTGCAGATTGGATTTGCTTCTAACTGTGGGCACAGGGTCAGGCCAGGGGGGCTGGTACGGGCCACTGACCCAAGCCAGGGCTTGGGGAAGGAAGAGGCCAATTCTGGTTGGGAAGTGGAACCTGTCACCGGCTTGAAGCATCCATGTGAGGCCCCAATGCCCCTGTCATAGTGCAGCTATGGGAAGGGGACAAACACCTAGACACAGTTGGGAGAGGGTCCAGTGAAGGGCCAGAGCTGGGGGGGTGTGGGAGGCTGGAGGAGCCAGCAGCGGCTCAGGGGGAAGTGGTTAGATGGGGTCAGGTCACAGGAGCAAAGCGGGGCGGGGGGCAGTGGGTGGGAAGGGCAGTTCTGCTCCACCCTCCAAGCTCTGAGGCGGCCGCTGAGTTGCCACCTTGGCCATCAGCTGCATATCGACCGCCATTCACGGATAGGCTTTCTGCTTTCTCAGAATATTAATGACATCCTGCTGAATGCCACATGAATATTCATCCAGAGATCAATCAAGTCCAGGCTGGCCGATGGCACCTGGAGATGGCTGGCTCAGCCAGGTGGCCCGACCCGCACTCTACGGTGGGTGTGGCTGGGGGTCCCTGCCACTCTGTCAGGGGTCCCTCCTCTCTCTGGACAGTCTGGATGGACATCCCTGCTCTATGGCCACCCTGAGCCTGGGAGCCAGGAGCTGGGGACCCCTGGAAGACTCAGGTTTTGCAGTGGGTGCTGCCTCCCCAGAAGCCAGGCCAGTGAGTGAGGCCTTCCTGCCGTCTCTGGGGTCCGGAGCCAAGGACCAGCTCATGACGCCCAGGTGAAGAGGTGGGAGTTGGCCCTGGGCAGATGGCCTGTTGCGCCAGGAGGACTCTGGTCTTCCTGGGAGCCCCCAGGTAGCCTTGAGTTGGTCTGGGGTCCCTGCACTTCCCCTGCTCACCCCCCCGCCAGCTACTCTGGCAGCTAAGTGCTCTCCTGAGCAGATTCACACGACAGAGCACGTGGGTTTCTGGCTCTTTCCTGTGGGCACGGCCGGTGCCTGTCCTGCCTCAAGTGCAGGCGTGGGCGCTGCTGCCCGCTGGGCTGCTGCCCTGGCTCCCTGCTGTGGATGAGGGGCGGCACGTTCAGCTTCAGCGGGGCGGCGGGCTGTGGGCTTGGCTGTGCCTTTCAGGACCGAGGGGGACTCTGCCCCCCGCCTGCCTGCCAGGGTGCGGAGCCCTTTGATAATGAAACCCAGGTATTAGTGTGGACTCATTATTTACAGCAGCACCATGACATCATAGGTACATGAATTATTTGTGTGTTTTTCAAATCGTGATGCGATAACCCCGTCTGTTTGCCCAGCTCCCGTAATGCACAGGCGTCCTAATGAACACCATTATCCCTCTGGACGCAGCCTGGAGGCAGTTCCTGCCTTTGCCACTGCCCGCGGGGCCATTTAGGGGGGCTGCAGCCTCGTGTGACCCTCACCCCTCCTGCCGTAGCCAGGTGTGCCCATCAGGCCCACGTGTGTAATACCATACTACCCACCGTGCCTCCCTCTGTCCTGTGCTCCCTCTGGGGGCTCTCCAAAAGCACCAGGGGCTTGAGAAGCCCTAGGTGACACTAGCAGCCTTATTCCTGAGCTCCTGCACAACACAGGTCTGCCCTACAGAGCTCAGGCAAGTGCCCCAGGGGCTGTTCCCGCACTTGGCCGCTGTCTTGGAGCCGATTAGCAGGAGGTGCAGCCTCCAGGACCAGCTAACCCCAGGAGGCCAGGGCAGGGACTGGGAGGCTGGACCACAGCTGCAGCAGGGAGGCTGGCAGAGCTGCAGGAGGAGCTGTGGGCAGGGCCCAGGCCAGGCTGACCAGGGTAGGGCGCCATCCTGCCAGGGGCTGGGCAGGGTCAGAGCTGCACTGTGGGCTGTCCCTTCCCCTCCTTCCG